ATATAACTACTTCAATTAGAAAAATCAACAACTCTTGTGAGTTTTAGGAATTAGTTTGTAGAATAAATAAATACAATTCAAAAACTTGTTTTCCGGGGGACGTTGTTGATTTAAAGCCAGTAAACCTATGTTTTTAATAAAAAAAAGCATAATTAACCAACACAACAATGCTTTATATACCTTCACAAAGCTATGCTTCTGTGGTGGACACAATAAAAATATTAATGAGATTTATTAGAGAAGAAAATAAGCCATGAAATAATGCAAAATAGAAAACAAAGATGAAATATTGTAAAATAAGTAAAAATATATAAAACTAAATGTTTTTTTTGGACATTTTTATAAAACAGTTAACTAATTCACTAGGTTAAGAAAATAGTTACTAGTATTTCTTTTATTTCAAATTTATATGTTTTAAAATTACCTGCAACATTGATAAGACAAACTTTAATTGTTTTCTCATACTTTTTGAGTTTAAAGTCCTTTAATCAATTTCATTAATATATTTATTCTTTAAAGTTCTATTAACTATAAGTGCGATAAAATGTTTGTCGTACAATATGAACCTAAATGTGTCTGTAAAATTAATATATTTCACTCATTATAATGAATGATTCAAAATTTATCAAATGAATCTTAAAATATGAGTATTATAGAAAGGATTAAAGGAAGTAAAAAACACGAAATACAAAATACAATGTAAAATGTGAAAAATCACAGGGAGATCATTATTGCCCTTGATATACACGTTTCACTATGGTGGTTAAATGTAAGCAAAAGTGAATATTTAGTGAAAAATAAAGCAGTTATATTACACTATAAATTTGGTTGGTGAACAGATAAAAAAAAATCCTAATGACACACCTAAATAAGTAATGTAATTTTTCTACTTTGGTTATAAGAAATATCTTTTATATTGGTTAGTATATTATCCTATGTAAAAAAAAACACTTTATTTTCAATAATTGATATAAAATCTCCCTTTAACCTATTTTTAAGTTACTTTTCCTCCACTCTTTTCTTATGTGTTCATCATTTTAACTTTTCTTTAGGCTTTATTAATGTTTGTCTTGTCTCCTCAATTCCCCATTGCATATCTCTCCAACTCAATCCAATGTTGTTGCCACTTCACACTGTGTTACTTTCACTTGTATTAACATTTTTGTTGTTCTTCTCTTTGTTATTATATATACATAGATATCTTTATTCATCATATATTTACATCATAAATTATATTAATTTTAATACATATGCATTTTCATACTTTAATGTTGTGTTTAAGTTACTTGTTATTATTTATCCTTATTTTAGAAGTCTTATTACTTCCTTAAATAGTTATAAAAAAAACTTACTTATATTATCATATTGATTAAAAAGTTGTTTCATTTTGTTCAAATGCTTTGGTATAATATGTTTAATTTATTTTTGTGCAAATTTTTATAAATTATTTTCTTATATAATGTTTAATTTTTTAATTTTTATTTTATGTGAGATTTAAATTTTACTTCTTCTAACACTACTGTAAAAAAAAAATCTTTTTACGTCTCCTGATAATATAGGACAATATAAAATAATTGTTTTTATGTCAATTATATTTTTCATTTTTCAAAATAATGTAATTTGATTCAAACAATATATCTAAAAATAATATTTTCCATAATTATACTTTTAATGATCAATCTCAAGTAGATCTCTAATTTTGTAAGTGTTTTTTTAGCATGAAAAAAGTACAATTAAGTATGGAAAAGTTTGATTATTGTTGAATACCTGTGGGAAATAAATACACAATTTAATTATCATAATGATTGGTCATAGTATACTATACTTGATTGCTTTTAAGGAGTTGCATAAGATTGTATTTTAAAAGGATTTTTGTTTTGTTAAATGAGAAATGAAATAAATCTGCTTCTAGTATCCATTGATTATTGCTAGCAGAATCTAACAGCACAGCTGCTCATTTAGTTTTAATGTTGACAACATTGAAGTAATACTTAACAAGTCTCTCAAGTCACACACATAAGAAACACAAGTTGGGTAACTTCATTTGAGAAGTGAGGAATCCTCAAACTGTCATAACACCCCTTTTAAATAGCCTCATACATGGCATGAAGTCTGTGTAAGGTATGTGCACTATATGTGACTAGAGGTGTTAATTTAATTTATGAGTAATTTTTAAATTATGGTTAGGATCAAAATGGGTTTGATCTAAAATTATAAAATGTTTTTTAAATATTTTATATTAATTATAAATTGGTTTTTATTTATTTTTATACTATTTGTAACTTGAAAGTTAGGATTTAGTCAACTTTAATTGATTGGATTGATTCAATTCAATTTGAGTTCGACTTGACATGATATTATTTGATGTGGATCTAAATTTGATCTAATATTGACTTAATATGAGTCCAATTCAACTCGATTTGATTGAACCAACATTAACCTGACTCAACTTAGTCCGATGTGAGCTAGACTAAACCTCAACCAAAGGTGGGTTGAACTTAACTAGATCTAAAGTGGATCTAACTTAACTCAACCTAAGATCGACTGAATGTCTTAATCTGATATGGGCTCAAATAGATAAGGACCAATATTGTCCTTATTTAACTTTATTTAATCTAACTTGACTCTACCCGAACTAACATAGACATAACTCCACTTAATTCGATGTAGGCATGGCTCGACTAAGCCAAAGGTAAGTTTGACTCAAATATAAGTGGGTATGACATAACTCAGCTAAAAACGGGTCTCACTCAACTTAGGATGAGATGGATCAAACTTGACTCGTCTCAAGGTGGGTCCAACTTGACTCTGCTTGAGGTGAGCCCAATATAACTCAATGCAAGATGACTCAACTCAACTCAGAGTGAAGTAAGTTTGATCCAACTCAACTTAAGATGGGCCTAACCCTACTTGGTCCAAGGTGGGACCAAATCAACACGATCCGAGATAGGTTCAAATTGACTTAGCTCAAGGTAAACTTGATTTAACTTGACTTTAGGTGAGTTTGAAGCGACTTAGCCCAATGTGGGCATAACTTACATAATCTAATGTGGGTCTGTCATGATTCAAACATCGATTTGACTTGACTTAACTTAGCCTGATGCGAAATCAATTTTCCTAAGTCTAAGTTGGGTCTGACTTAATTCTGCTTAAAGTGTGTCGAACTCAATTGTGCACCAATTCAATTGAGCCCCAAGGTGGGCATGAATCGATAAGCTAGAGATAAGCCTAACTCAACTTAGTTTGAGGAGGGTCAGACTTAACTTGACCTAATGTGTGTCAATTGTGGGCTTAACTTGACTCAATACAACATATATTCAATTTTACTTAATTTGATGTGGATTCAACTCGATTAGGCCTAACATGAGTCCTACTCGATTAGATCGACATGGCTAGAAGGTCTAAATTTAAAGTCCACTATAAATCTTTAAATATAAATGTTTAGTTTAAGGTTGCTTCTTCCTACACCTCCCTTGTTTCCCACACCCTACAGTCTTGATAAAATTTCAATTTAACCTCTCCTTCTTTGATGTGTCAAGCCTTTATGTCCAACCCTTGTAGCTGGTGGCAATGACACACCTTTACATCTCTATTGCAGAATCTAGCAAGAGGAGAATGCGAGGTTTTCATCAATCTTTGAGACAAAGCATGTTATGGAAGGTGAAGAGAGTAAGGATCGAGGGTTTTGCTTGGGGTTATGATCTGTGGGTGAGTTTGGCGATAAGGTCGCTGTCAAAGATGGTGACATCGATGACAATGAGGGAGGAGGAGCCAAGGATGCAGGATTGGGCTTGATTGCAAAATGAGGTTTGGTGGGAATAGAAAAAGAGAGAACGAGACATCTTCCATGAGAGGATGAAATTGTCTTCTTTAGGGCAGTGGACACTAATTTTTGTGTGGTTGGAATAGTGGAGAATGGAGGCATGTACAATAGTCAGAATGTATTTATTCTCTACATAACAACCACCACCAAGTTCATTGCCTCCAAACCCACCCATAATTTCATCACCAGAAATAGAGTCACACAAGAGAGTGAGAGAGTTTTCAAAAGGTGAAAGAGACTCTAACAATATTAATTACCTTTTATTGTCAAAAACATTTTATATTCATTTATAACTCGTAGAAATGAATTGATACATACTTTAAAATATCAACAAAATCATATTTTGATTAATAATTTGGAAATAAAAAACATATTTAATAAAAAAACAGTGTAGACAAGTTAAAGAAGATAAAAATTGCAATAATATTTTGAACTTAAAAACCAATTTTTAATGGAAAAACTAAATCGAAAAAAAATATATATAATAAAAACTAAAACATCGCATACGATCGAAATTTAAAAAATTCAAAATACAATTATATGAACAACCATTCTCTTTGATAGTTGGAAAATGGAAACCAACAACTATTGATTTCACCGTAGAATGAAAAGTGTACCATTTCGGTGGTAAAAGAAGCTTCTTCAATTAAAATGAACTATTAAAAGGAGCATAAAATTAGCTTCGTTGGTTGGTGACAAAAGCCAACTAACAAGATTGGGGATTTGGATCCTCTACAATTTAATTCAGAACTTCACTGTGGGGGAATCACATCCAACTGTCCATAGTATTTAACATTAATTGTATAAAATTACATAAACATGCGAATGGCCATGATTATGTGAGGTTGGTTTACCAAACTGCAGACAATCTGAACCGTTGCCGATCAAAGTCACGAAAACAGATGAAAGAATTCAAACGGCCAAAATCGTCTGCACCTACCCAAAGAAAATATTAAAATAATAATAAATGTTTGAAAGAAAAACAAAGAATAATAAAGATTAACTAGGCGTTTATTCCTCTCCTTGAAACATCAGATGTTTATATAATTTTTAAAAATTGAATGAGATTAAAAAAAATGTTTTAAAAAGTATACAGAAAAAGGAAAGTTTTTCTAGTTAATATTAAATTAAATAATTAGAAAAAAAAAAAGAAGTCACCTAACACTTATGTGAAGGAAAGGGTAAGAAAGAAAGAGAAGGAGACGGCGAGTTGAGTTTTTTGAAGTGTGGGAGAGAGTCCGAACAAACCTAAGAAACCCAACGTTGGAGAAAGTGATTCTGGTATTCTAGATTCTGGTTTTCTTTTGTTCTGTTATACGCACAAAACAACAACAGCCTCAGAAACAGAAACCGCAATGTCGAACGCTAACTTGGAAGATGTTCCCTCTCTGGATCTCATGACTGAGCTCCTTCGTCGCTTCAAGTGTTCCTCCAAACCTGACAAGCGCCTTATTCTCATTGGTATCTCCATCCATCTCTCTCTATATAGAAGAATTTTTGTTAAGTTTTCGTTTCGGACTCGCTGTTAATTCAGATCCAAAAACGCTTTTGTTAAATAGCTCGATTCTTTCGCTCTTGTTGCGTTTCAATGTTGTCGATGCGGTTTTTAGGGTTTCTTTCCTGAGGCCTTATTATCGTTTAATAGGGAATATATTGAGAAATTTGAGGGGTTTTAGCTATGGGGTTCAGGATGGGGATACTCTTATGCCTCAATGTATTGTTTTTCATTACTGGAGAAGAAAATGAGAGGATTGGCTTTACGCTTTACGGATTTTTTATTGTATTTTTCTGGTTGTTTTCTTTTGAACTTTTAGTTTTCATTCTTTGGTGGACGAGTATTATTTTTAAATCGGTGATTATATGCTACAAAGTTATTGCCTGGAACGGTGTACGGTGTTTTTGTACCCCACGAGGCATGCGGTGTTTCATAAAGTAGCTCTCGAACTGTTTAATACTTTTTTTTTATGTTTGTCATTTGAACACGGTTCTCTAATTGTGAATCTACACGCATATTAGGGAGGCTTGTGTGTTCTTTCTCTGTTTTTTTCCCTGGTCATCATTCATTTGTAACTTTACATTTTAGTTTTTTTTTTTTTTTTACAGATTGCGTAACTGATGAGCTTTGTAGCTTTACTTTTAGACAGTAGAGACTTGCACTTATTTGCCAAAGAATTTCTTTTGGTGTGATTGGATGATAGTCTAGTCTCAAAATGATTCCAAATTCCTGAAGAATTTGCGTATTTTTACTCTCATGCGAACTTTAGTGTGTAGATTTATCTGTGTACTGTTGGCAGTAAGATGTTAGGTCTGTGGTTTTATTTTTCTCCCGATTTGATTTCAATCCCGTGATGCTGGTTTTTTCTCCTGAACTTTTTACTCACTTGATTATAATTGTACTCTACCACAGTGCCTTTACTTTATTAGATTGTTGCGTCTATATAAATGTTGGCACTTTCTTTGCTACTGATACAATTCTGGTCATCTGTGACACCAGCTCTTTGTATTTTCCAGACAGATAAAATGAAGAGCTAAATTGAGTTGTCCCGTTGATCTTTCAAACTGAACTGTTTGTCTCGAGTTAGACTGGGAATTTTAATGTGTATTCCTACAATCTTATCATTTTAAAGAGAGGTTTCATCGATAATGGATCCTCCTTTTCTATGCTTCTATTTTATTTACCATTGGAAAATGAAGACAGTGAAACACTAGTCTGCCATACATATTCAATCGAACCTATACATTGTGAAAGTGATAACTCCTGTAAATGATGAGTAGCACTTGGATTTGTATTGGTTCTCTGTACTGCTCTTAGGCTAATATTTTAATTTGATATGTGTCCATTTATTACATCAATGGTTTAAGTACTGTCAATTAGTGAGTTAGGTTAATCTCCATATTTGCCTTGGTTTGCTTATTTGAGTCATGCTTTATGAATTTACAACATATATTGATTTTCTTTTTTCTGAAATTCTAGTGTAATATAACTTAAAAAATATGTTACTGCAGGCCCACCTGGATCTGGTAAAGGTACCCAGTCACCAATCATAAAGGATGAGTACTGCTTATGCCACTTAGCTACTGGTGATATGCTAAGAGCCGCTGTAGCTGCCAAGACCCCTCTTGGTGTCAAGGCTAAAGAAGCTATGGATAAGGCATGGGACCCTATTTGGAATTTACTTTTTTTACCATGTATACGCTCGAAGAGAGATTGCTAATAAGATACTATGTTACAATATTTCAGGGAGAACTTGTTTCTGATGACTTGGTTGTTGGGATTATAGATGAAGCAATGAAAAAACCATCATGTCAGAAAGGTTTCATTCTTGATGGTTTCCCAAGAACTGTGGTTCAAGCACAGAAGGTATGACATTGTTGGACATCTGAGTTACTAGTGAGTTTCTTTTGTTTGAAATATCAAGCTTATGTAAAACAGAATTACTTGATTTTATGCACTGTTTTGCATGCTGTTGATGTACATCTTTTGAACATGTTTTTTCTTTATTTGCAGCTTGATGAGATGCTGGATAAACAGGGAGTGAAAGTTGATAAGGTGCTCAATTTTGCAATTGACGATGCCGTTCTTGAGGAGCGAATTACTGGTCGCTGGATACACCCATCCAGTGGCAGAACATACCACACAAAATTTGCCCCTCCTAAGGTTGCTGGGGCTGATGATGTAAGTCTGTAACTTTATTTAAACCCTGCAAAAATGTTAGTTGCCTAAACATATCTTCTGCTTATAGGTGCTTTAACATTGATGGGAGTTTTGAAAAGCTGCGAGTATCATTCAAACTTAAGTAGTGTTTAGATGTCCGACAATGGTTAGACATTTGGCCATGCACTTTTTTGTAAGACTTGGTCTATTCTCCACCTTAAAACTAGCTTTTGAGATTGACATTTTAGGCACAGTCCCTTTCTAATACGGTTCAAAGCCAAATTCAGTCTTGATGTTTTTGCTGCTCTAAAATGTCTATTCATAAAAAACTTAAAACACCTGTGCAGTGTTTGGGGTGGGAGGAGGATGTTAGGATATGTTGCACATTGGCTCAGACTTTGGCTGTGCTCCCCCTTTTAGTACTTCTTAGGGTTGAATTAGTGGCTAGTTCAATTTTAATAAAAATAATGAGATGCCACACTTTTTTTGTTAACATGTTTTATTGGAAATGAATTTGGTTTTAGTTGCTGGCAGTACTGTCAATACAAAGATTTTTCTATTTTCACGTATAGAATGTTTAAGGGTAGTGTTGGATGCCCACTTAAAAGGTTAGGGCATGCCACGAGCTTTGTCATGATAGCTTAAGAAAGCAGTAGCCCTGTAACAATCTCGCTATTGAATTTGGGTTCCTCAGGTTACTGGCGAACCACTTATCCAGCGTAAGGATGACACTGCAGCTGTTCTGAAGTCAAGACTGGAGGCATTTCATAGGCAAACTGAGCCCGTATGATTCTGAATCCTTCTTTAGCGTTCTGGTTCTCTATTAATTGTTTGAGGAATGCCTTTCTCATTTCTGTCTTTTAGAAATTTCATGGTCTTGATTGGAAATTTTTGCATTGAACATTCAGGTTATTGATTACTATTCGAAGAAGGGCATAGTTGCTAATCTTCATGCTGAGAAACCTCCCAAAGAGGTGACAGTTGAAGTAGAGAAAGTGCTGTCTTAAATAGAATTCATCCATGGATCCTCGGGCTCGAACTGCAAGTGTTCCTTTTTTTTTTAGGAAAACTTAACTTTGC